GATCTTGGTGATTTAATAGGTTAAGAGTGCTCTTAATTCTTATTTTCCTTTGACCAGTTGAACTTTGGCTTAATAAATAATTTTCATTTTCTTGGAGACAAAGAGAAGAGACATTTTAGGATGTTTATGAGCCAGTCTAAGCTAATTGCCTGTCTTGTGTTTATTGTTTTAACTCATTAGTGATGTCAGCCTCTAGGCATTTGTTATGTTGTTCTTCTAACCTCCAAGTCCTGTCTCAAGCACTGTTTCCTGGCTCTCCTTCCATCTCTTCTCTTTCTGGTGCTCTGACCACCAAGTCCTTAGATTCCTGGTGACCGAGAAATTCTCCCTCCAGTCAAGAGCCCCACTACAAATGGCAGGACAGAAGATGCTAGAACCATTCTTCTTTTCTAAACTGAACTTTGTCGTTCGTTCATATACTCAGCCACTAAAACTGATCTTTAGTGTCTACAAGACAGAGTTTTTGTCCTCAAGAACTGATGCTACGCAGGCATCCCTTGGTACTGTTGGGGGGTTGGCTTGAAGATTCCCTGTGGACACCAAATTATGAGAATGTTCATGTCCCTTATGTAAAATGTAATATTTTCATATAATCTATGAATATCTCTAGATTATTCATAATACCTAATATAGTGTAAGTGCCGTATAAATATTTGCTATACAGGATTACCTAAGCCATAGACAATAAAAATGTTTGTATGTGTTCAATACAGACACAATTTTACTTTGTTTTTCATGTGTACATATGTGATATGCACGTGTCTACGTGTTTGCACGTGTGCATTATTCTCTGAGTACATGTGTGTGCATGCATGTGAAGATCTAAAGTTGATCTTGGGTGTCTCTTTCCATAGCCTCCCACTCTATTTATTGAGGCTAGTGAACCCAGAGCTGTCAATCAGCCAGACTAGTTAGCTGACTCTTTCTGGGGATCCCATCTCTGCCTCCCAAGTGCCGAGTTACAGGTAACTGCCACATCTGCCTCACTTTTACCTGGGTTCTGGGCATCTGAGCGCTGGTCTTAATGAAGCATTTTATCCACTGAGCCATCTCTCTAGGTCCCTAGGTACAATTTTCTGAAAAACTATTTTTGAGCCACAATTAAATTCATAGATGAAGAATCCACGGATGAGGAGGGCTGACTATACTTAAGAATATTTGCGGGTGGAGCCATGGCTTGGTGGGTAAGAGAGCTAGCTGTGAAAGCATGGACACTGGAGTCCAGAACCCTAGCACCCACATAATAAGCTAGGTGTGGCTGTAACCCCAGGCTGAGGGGTGTAAAGCCTGAGTTGGGTGCAAGTCAGGGTTGCTGGTGCTTGCTTGCTGCTGCCTTAAATCTAGGGTCAATGGTAGACTTTTTCTCAGTGGAACAGATGGAAAGAGATAGAACAGGATTCCCAGTGTCCCTTCTGGCCTCTGTGTATGGACCACACAAACACACACACAAAATACTCAAAGAAAGCCAGGTCTAGAATCTTAGCTACTTAGGAGGTGAAGGCAAGAGGAACAAATAGTCAGGGCCAGCCTGGGCTACAAAGTGAGGTTGAGTTCAACCTAAGCAACTTAGTAAGACCTTGTCTTAAAATTTGGGGGGGAAAAAAAAAAGAAGAAGAGGAGGGTTTTCTAAAGCCCTGTTTCTTCCCAGGGATCTTTAGGCAAGTTAATGGTTCCTGGGGAGGGAAAGAAATTTCCTTTTGTGTGTGTGTGTAGGCACTGGTAAGTCGCCAGACTTCTAAAAATAACTCTTCATCTGTGGTCTTGTTAACAACCCTAATTAAACTCATTGGACTATCAAAAATCCAATACAATAAAATAAAAGATACAAGGAATCAACAAGAGAGGGCAATGGTGGTGAATATGGTCATTGTACATATGTCTCAGGGTGTCATAACAGAACCCACTGACTATGATTAAGGTGTGCTAATAAAGTAAATTCTAAGTGCTATGACTGGGAATGGCCCGGTGCTAGAACAGTTGCATGTCCTCGGTCGGGGTGCCGTCTCCAGTGTAGAAGAGAAGAGGGAGGGAGCGAAATAATCAAGGGGTGAACCAGGAGAAGCTGCACGTACGAGTTCTTTCACGAGGTGGGGACACGTTAGGAATCACCTCTCCTCTCTGCAGCCCTGGAAGACGAAGCTGATAACAGATGAGTGTTGGAGAGGTAAGAAATGGATTGCCCAGAAAGATTTCAGGGAAGAGTACTAATTATTCTCCTATGTATGCACATTCAATAAAATAAATGCTTTGTCTTCCGATTTTGGCCTTTCAGCCCAGATGAACTAAAAGCATAGCAGAAAGGGGCGTCTGTGAGGGGGGCTCCCCACTATTTTAGTGCACAGATCCATGACTCCCTGTAGCTCTTTTCTCACTGAGGATCCTACCTTTCTGTTTCATGTAGGGTCCGTTGAGTGTGGGCAGCAGGATTCACTTTGAACTTAGCTCTCCACGTGAAAGCATAAATAAAAAGATACTTATTTCGTCCACCTGCTTTCCTGTGTAGAAGGAGCATGCAAAGGGCCCCTGACGAAGAGCAGGTCAGACACCCTGCTGATGGTAATAGCTGCCACCATCAGGCACACTGTGCGCTGATGAGGTGTGCGCATGCGCTGATGTTCACTGCCATAAAGGCTGTCTTCTCGAACACTCCAAGTATCACCCCAGTCTCGTGGCTGGTCCTCTTCTCAGCCTCACCTCACCAGAAAACAAGATGAACGCAAGGCCAAGTGGCTCCTGCAATTAAGAGCTTGGTAGAGCCTGAGCCTCAGGCTGGGGTCTTCTCTTCAAACATCACACCCCCATCCTGTACTGGCTGCCTGACAGAGAAGCATTGCCTGTCGCTACCACCCTTCTCATCCTCTGTGTCCGCCTTTTCCACCAGCCCCTTCCTTCACTCTTTCTTCCCTGCTTCCCTGTGCCATCCATGATGCAGACTGTGCCGACACCCATAGGTGAGTGCACTGCAGGGCAGATGCTGTCCCAGCGACACACACACACACACACACACACACACACACACACACACACACACACGATGAACACAGAGAGATTAGCCATGACACACTCAGCTAAACGTCCTTGTGCTGGTTTTATGTTTGTCAACTTGACACACACTGGAGTCACTTGGGAGGAGAGAGAACGGCAGCTGAGGAATTGCCTCCATCAGACTGGCCTGTGGGCAAGGGGTAAGGGGCACGTTCTTGACTAATGATTGGTGTGATAGGAGGGCCCAACTCACTTTGGGCTGTGTCACCCCTGGGCAAGTGGCCCTGCATTATAGAAGGAAAAGAATGAGCAAGCCATGGAAAGCAAGCCAGAAAGCAGCACCCCTCCACAGCTTCTGTTTCAGTTCCTGCCTCCAGCGCCCTGCCTTGAACTCCTGCCCTGGCTTCCTTCAGTGGAGACCATCACCTGTAAGCTGAAATAAAACAGTTCCTCCTTAAATTGCTTTTGGTCATGGTGCTCATCACAGCAGCAGAAAACACACTAGAACATGGTAAAAACCAGAGAGATAATCTGAATGCATCAAGAGAACTGTAAAGGGAAACCATGAAAGATTAATAGCTGACTTACACTAGAAACAGTACAAGGCATAATTCAAAGTGCTAGAATAAAAACTGCCAATCAGCCTGGTGCCTTCACTTGTTATCTGGATGCAGGTTTTGCCTGAACTACAACTGGCAATATGGAGGCTTGTCTATCCCTCACAGGACCAGATGATATATGCATGCACACACACACACACACACACACACACACACACACACACACACACACTACACACAACACACAGCCATACTAAGCTTAGTACCATCTGTTGACTACATCTGCCAAAGGCTTTTTTATTGGAGGAATCCCCACAGACTATTCTAGAAATACCCACCGTCTGGGGATGGGTGCCTGGGCTGACCTCACTTGAGGACATGCCGTTCTGTCCTAGTCTGATGGTGCTGCCATAACAGAATACCACTGACTGGGTGACTTAGGAGAAGAGAATGTTATTTCTCAGAATTCTGAAGGCTTATAAGCCTCAGATCAAGGCATTAGGCTGCGTTAGCTGCCTGCTTGAGGGTATGTCCTTCTGAGGGAAGGAAACACCGTCACAGGAAGGAAAAGCCATTCCAGAACTACATAAAACCTTTCTAAGAACCTCAGTCCCATCACAAGGGAGGAACCCCAGCCCCCCTCCTACCCCACTTAATCCTATCGGTAGCAGCCCTTGCGCTTTGGAGAGGGCCTCTCCAAGGTGTAGTGTCTCATATTCCTGGAGTACTGCATTTATCCTTACCCTGCACGTTGGTCACATAACCACTGTCACACCTGATCGTCCACTTGGTCTCCAAGCGATCGATGGCACACAGGTCCCAACCGTAGCTTGTGTGTCCTCTTGTTCCCTCTACGGTCCTCATAGTACGCTGTAGGAAGGAAGCGCTTGGTGAATGGGCAGTGACATGGCGCGCTTGCGCAGCCTTTTCTCTAGTTTAGGTGCCACATTCCCCAGGAAAAGCTGTCTGTATTTTCTCTTGCAGTGCGGTTGGACAGTTTCCTGGATGAAGGGCCCTGCCTGGTGTTGAGATCACCCTCACATTGGGATGGCTCCTTATATTAGTTCTCAGGGATGGGTATTTACAGACCAGAACCAAACCAAGTAGACGACGGAGCTGGCCACCAGCCTGTCGTGCTGTCTTCACACGGCAGACACAAGATGCCTTCGTGGAAGAAGGGTTAACATTTATTCTAGTTCCCAGAGGTAAAGCATGCGGCCAGCCGCTCTTCAGAGCAAACATGATAGAAATAAATGGTGCATCTTGGAGGCAAGCAGTCTCTAAGGCTGTATCTGCCTGGGAAAACAGAGGAAGGCATCGTAAACTGTGGCGTTCACATTTTCACGGTACTTCCGCCTTCCAGGGGTGTGTTCTCCACCCAGAGAATAAGACCCAGCTGTATTTCAGCCAACCGTGCTTTCCATCTGTGCTGATTGTAATTTTTATCCATCATAGGTTTGAAGACATACCTGATATCGGGTCAGAGAGCCAAGGAGTCTCACTGCAGCTGTGCAGAGGCCCTGCTTTCTGGCTTTGAGGTCATTGACGGCTCACGGGCGTCCTCAGGCCCTAGGGGACAGGGGACAGCATCGCCAGGGAGTGTCAGTGACTTGGCGCAGACTGTCAAAACCTTTGATAACCTTAAGGTTAGTTTTTTTTTTTCTCTCTCTCTCTCTTCTACAACTTCGTAGTAACTCTGTGGTAGAATACATGAACTAATAAACACCCTGTGGCAAGTGACTTGGGATGCCTATCAGTTTAGTTTTTATAATTTAAGAATTTAGCATAGAGTTAGTTACATTGTGCATTTTTAATAATCTTGCATTTTAAACATTTTTACATGCCTCCATTTCCTCTCTGTTTTGCATAAAGATATTTCTTGTTTGAGTTTAGTTAATTTTTTTTTTTCTGCAACCTATGGTGTCTTTGGGGACCTCTCAGAGACAATGATAATGTCAGTTAAGGTAATTTTCCTCACAGCATACTTGAAGAGCTGGGATCTGTTTTATTTTGGAGACCACCTTAAATGCTCTCCTGTTTCTTTAAATCCACAATTTTGTGATTATCTTTTTTTTTTTCAAGACAGGGTTTCTCTGTGTAGCCCTGGATGTCCTGGAACTAGGTCTGTAGACCAGGCTGGCCTCGAACTCACAGAAATCCACCACTAAAGGTCCACCCCCCCCCAATAATTTTGTAATTATCTTAAGTTGTGTTGGTATGTGTGAACATTGCAATGTAGTTCCATGAACAGAATAGCGTTGGTGAGAGCATTCTGGTATTTTGTTATTGGAGCAGAGATCTGATGGCTGTCTAGAGGTGCCTACTTCTATACTGACATTATATCATAAAAAACTACTAAGGAATTAACATACCCAACCTTGGGCATAAGAGATTTTTCTCATTGTGAGCTGTTTTTTTTTTTCCTTATCACATTGGATTTAGTGTCCCTATTGGTACCTTCTATTTATATTTTTACTTTTACTTTACTCATTCTCCATGTCTTTGTCTGTGTGTGTCTCTCTGTCTTTTTGTTTCTGTCTCTGTGTCTCTGTCTGTCTCTGTCTCTCTGTCTCTCTCGTCTCTCTGCCTGTCTGTCTCTCTGTGTGTATGTGTGTGCTTTCTCGCCCCTTCTTCTGTTTATTTTCACGTTTAAATATTTACTGTTTCCATTTTTTAAAAGAGAGCAAGATGCCTCTAATAGTTCTTTGCTCTTTGGAGTGATGGACTGTGGTAACACCTGTTGTCTAGTAGGACTTACCTACATTTATTATATTTGAAAGCTGTATGTTCATAAGTTTAAGAGTTTTTATAGGCTGGGTATGGTGGCTTATGTCTATAATTACGGCAGTCAGGAAGCTGAAACAGGAGGATTACTGTGATTTTGAGATCAGCCTAAACTAGAGGGCAAGACCCTGTCTCCAAAAAAACAACAAAAAACAACAAAAAAAACAACAAAACAAAACAACAACAAACAACAAAATAAAACTAGCTTTACAATGTGGCAATCTGCTGGAGCACCTATCTTATTTTATATGTGAAGATATATTTCTAGTCATTGTTGTGTCCAGGGTTGTTGAAAGCACTCATTTATCATTTTACTCGTGTGCTTTATTAATTTAATGAAGTTTATTTTTAATTCTAACAGTTTAGAGCCAGTAGTCCTGGCTATTGGGCTGTCCTGCAGATTGCCAGATGGACAGCACCATCTTCGACCTCTGCCTACTTCCACCACATATACTCCCTCCCCAGTTACGCTAACCCAAAATGTGTCCCCAGCATTGCCCAGTATCCCCTGGGAGAGAGGGAAAAAGAATGCTGAGCTCCTGTCCTGGGTGACAGCCTAGGATGGTAGTGCTGGACCCCTGTATATGGAGGGCAGTCAGGATACGCCTTTCCCTCAACTGCCTGCCTCAGAGATGCAGACAGGTCCTCTATGGCGTCAGCAAGAGGGGCTGTCGTGTTATGGACTGGCTTAACACAGGCAGGGAAGATTTAAAAATATGGCTTTCCAAAAGTGTTCTTTTGCCTGGGGAAAAAAGTGGCTTCCCCCAGGCCACAAACTGAGCCTTATTTAAGAAATTCAAAACTCAAAAGTAATAACTTGTTTCATCTGCCTGTTGGGCATGTGTGGCTGAGTTCCCCATGACATACTGGCAGATCTAGCCTCGAGGGTTCTAGGCTAAAATGCCTTAAGACAGATCTCTGTCCTCTTGAAAACCATCTTCTTCTAGTTGTAAAATCTGTTTTGATCTGAAGGGCAAAAGCTACTTAGTATATTCTACTGCCGTGCATATACTTCCAAACGATGAGTTTCCTGGAAATTGAATACAGAGTCTGTCAAGGTGACTGAACTGTCAAGACATTTGTGAGAGAGGGGAAAGAAGATCTTCATGTCTTTTTCAGGAGAGAAGGTTGAGTTAGTTCTATGTGGATATGTTGGCCACATGATCAGGATTTTTCAGACTAGAGCTATGCTAGAACATTGGAATTATTTGGATTCCACATCTGGGGTGCACAGAACCTGAAGAGATAAAAGGCAGGCCACGTGATGGGATTGCTGCCGCCAGGAGCCCCGTCTCCCCAGCATAGGAAGAGAGCAGGCATCCAGTCCTGAGTTCTCAGTAGCACGGAGGGGTAGGGCACTGAGTCCACATCTAAGGCAGTGAAGATAGTCATCAGCCCTGTATGACCCCCTTTTGAGTAAAAGGGGCTATCTGCTTTTTGTAAAATGCCAGTTATCTGCTCTCCATTCTTTGTGCCAGTTTCTCCAGTACACCTGTCAATACCATGAACACATGACATTGTTTGCCTTGGTAATATTGTCTGCACTAGTGTGAGCTTCTCCACGCACTGGACTCCTTTGCAGGGTCTGTTTACTCCCCTCAGTGAGGTGCTTTCCTTTGTCAGGGATCGCTTCATCAAAGAGGTAAACTCCTTGTGGGTTTATGTCTAGACACCCTGAGGAGGCTTAGCATAAACATGGTGGCTCTCAAAGCATGTTTCCTTTTGCAGCAGAGTCTCCGGATGAGCACAGGTGTGATGTATGAAAGGGACTCTAGTCTGGCTGACTTGTGAAAATTCTGGGTCGAGCAGCCCAGACAGGATGTCTCTAGTCGCAGGCCTGCATTAGCAGCCATTGCTACCTGTTCCAAAACCTGAGAACCCAGAGAGGCGTTTGGGAGGCAGTCTTGCAGCATAACCCAGACAGCCTCACACGCACTGCCATCCTGCCGCAGCCTCGCAAGCGCTGGGAGTAAAGGCAGGCGACAGAGTGCACTTGACCCCGTGTCCCACAATTGTACGTCAGAAAATATTGTTTAAGGAAAATTTGAAACCTCTGAGACGCTTGTCACCAAACCCGACAACCTAAGTTCAATCCCCACGACCCTCACGGTGGAAGGAGAAAGCAGACTCCCACAAGCTCTGATTCCCACATGCGTGCCACAGCATGTATACAACATAAGTAAACAAAAATGTACTAAAGTACGCATATTAATTGAACTGGGAAGATATGCATAGTGCCACTTAATGAATGTCACAGGCTATGCAATGCTATGTGTAAGTGAAGTCTCCCAAAATACTAAATACTTTCCTTATTTTGTTTTTCTGATAGAATACTCCCACAACATAGTAACAATCCTCTTTCCTCAAGGTCAACTGAAACTAATTTTGACATTTTTTCCTTTTTTTAAAGATAGGGTCTGATGCAGCCCAGGCTGTCCCTGAACTCCTGACCTCTCGGCCTGTGCTCCTAGGATTGCAAGCCTGCACCATCGTGCTCAGCTGAATCTAATCTATCCTTCGCTTGATTTTTTTTTTTTTTTTAAACCAGCCTTAGCTTTTAAGTTCAAAAGTCCTGTAGGGCTGAGGAATTCAGTAAAAAAACTTCAGTAATTACTGTTCCTTGGTTCTATACAAGGTGGCTTTGAGATCTGTGTCTGAGTTTTACAGTTGTTTATTCATAGTTTTGCCTCCAGTGTTCCTGAACTGTCTGTTTCCTGTTCTCACATGTCTGTGGAGCCTTTCTTTTCTCTGATAATTGCTGCTTTGTGTTTCCTCTAAGGATTCGTTTCTGTTTACCTCTAATATTTTCTTAGCAGAAATCATCTCTTTTGAAAGTGTTCCTGTCCATACCGGATCCCCGGCCACAGACGACATGGTGACGTGCTCTCACTGTGGAGCACCCAGTGAGTGGTGGTTAGGGCCAAGAGTTTTTCTGCTTGGGCTCATGTTTCCTTCATGCCTTTCTAGCTGTGTGACGATATAGGTGAGCCCCTCCTCTTCTCTGCCTTGGTTTCCTTTTGTGTAAAATGGAACTTATTGTTCCTGTTTTATGGGAGTTTCTGGGGAGGAAAACACTGAGACACAAAGAGTTTGGAGGGAAACTCAGTGACTGCTGTTTGCTGTCAGCAGTGTCTTGCTTACCCAGCCGGCCCGGTCCAACATGAGCTTCATGGCAGTGGATGCGTCTTCTAGTACCAGGACACATTGCTAACTAGTCAGTAATCAGTAGACTAAACAGGCAAGGCCAGGACCTCACTGATGTTTCCATCCCCCAAAGAGGCTTCCCTCTGGCAGTTATGAAAAGGGACAGGTGTTGACTTCAAAATGATTTATCTTCAATGGGAAACAGCCTTATATAAAAACAAACAAACAGAAGACCCAGCAACCCTACATTATAGCTCTGTGCCATGTATTCTGACCATAATTAGGGTACATGCATTGAAACATGTTAGAAAGGAATGAAGACGGGTCCGTGTATGTTAGAGGAATAGTTGTGATTTTTTTTTCCTTCAAAGCCCATGTCCACCAAGGTGGGGAGGGGAAGGTGAAGTGTGCTCTTGGTGAGTTTCCAAGGACTCTCAGGTTTCCCAGGCAACAGCCAGCAAACTCCTTGGCCTGTAGGTATGCTGTTTAGGGGTTTGTAGTGCTCCCTTTAGTGTGTATGTGCCAGTAGAACCGCTCAGAAGAGCTAAAATAACGCTTACAGCAGCGTGGGTCACTTCAGGTGATCAGAGTCTAGCAGCTCAGTGTCAGGATTATTCCTAGGCCCTCCTTGTGAAGGAAACGCAGCCAGGGTAAAGTCCCATGGTGGTCAGGGACCACGAGCTCCCGGGTCAAACCCCAGGGTCCACAAAACAGTCTG